TATTGTTATTTTTTAACTATTATTATCATTAGATAAATATATCCTCTTATTTTGTTTTAAGGTTTTTTGTTTTTGTTTTTTACAGAGAAGGGAGGAGAGAGCTCTCATTCATGCTGCTTTTTTTTCCTCCTATGGCTATATATGATCTTCCTAAAAATAAAAAACAAAGGACTTTCTGAGCCCCCATCCAGTATTTCTATGTATTTCACACTGTGCCAGGTCTCACTGAGACTATAAGAATGGTTTGTCTCATAGATAGATATTTTTATAAAGTTGATTTTGGCAAAGTGAGTATTTCTCCTTCTGGATCTAAAAAGCAAAGTGATTCTTATAATTTCTAAGAATATTTTTTCCCCAAGAGTCCATTGGGTCAAATTCAGAAAGGTTCTCACTTACCCAGGATCAGCGACAGCAAATTGAAGCCCTACTTCAGAGGACAGGAACCTGGCAGGAAGTTAATGATTCTTAAGGAAATCCCCAAGCTGGGACGAGCTCACTAACTGTAAAGGTTCGTTTTCACTGGGAAGCCTGTGTTGTAGACCTCTCTGTGCGTATGCTGACTTAGACCTCAGGTTCCCAAGGAGTTGTACTTGGGTTAAAATCTAGCATCTGAGAATTTAAAATGAAAACCTCGTCCTGGGTAACTGCTGTGAAGCACATCTATCTGCCTTAGATTTACATTTGGGCTGCCTCGGAAAGCTGTCCAAAACGACTTCCCTAATACAGCCCAGGAGTTTGGATCACGGAAGGTGTGACTTGCCAGTTTCCATTCTAAGCTGTGCCTGGGCTTTACTCCTGGTAATAGAAACATCCAATTCAAGAACTCCCTTCTCTTGTTCGTGACTTTCGTTTGTTAGTGTTCCCAACTCTTCCAACAGGGATACCTAGAAGAAAGTTTGAGATCATTATTCTTCGCAGCAGTTACATCTGACAGTTTCAGGGATGAAGAGAAGTCAATGGCAGGGAAACAAATCCTTTTACATCATTGAACTCTTAGCACTTTTAAGGACTACAATTCACTTGTATTGACGCTAAAATAAAATTTTTAAGATTATTTATTTATTTATTTATTTGACAGAGAGAGATCACAAGTAGGCAGAGAGACAGGCAGAGGGAGAGGGGGAAGCAGGCTCCCCGCTGAGCAGAGAGCCTGATGTGGGGCTTGATCCCAGGACCCTGAGATCATGACCTGAGTCGAAAGCAGAGGCTTAACCCAATGAGACACCCAGGCACCCCTAAAATAAAATTTTTAAAGAAGAGAGAGAGAGAACACACACATACCCCCACACACACACACCCAGAGAGTGCCTGCCTTGAGTTCAATCAACTGGGAGTCGGGAACACTGAGCGTCTCCATTTGTAAAATGGTAATAATAATACTCACCACCTGCTTCCTGGGGCTGGCGTACGGGTTTGTGTTCATTTCTGAGAGGGGCTTGAGATCCTTGAGTGAAAGGTGTGATGCACAGTATTATAATCTCCACCACAGGGTAACATATGGAGAGGGAAAGGAAGTGTATAGATACGTATGTTTCTGTTTAAACTCTGTGTGCAATGCTGACTTTTATCTTATTTTGCCTTTAAGCTAAACTGCATGGGTCACATTTAGAGCATATGTTGTTATCATTCGCCTTTTTTAGCTCAAGAAAATTGAGTGAATAACGGGTATTGTTTTCCTGTTTGCCGTGGTTAGAGTGGCTGCACGTTTCGAATTCTCTGACACACAAAATAGCAGATTACCCTGTTATGAGGCTCAGGGTGTGGGGCTTCAGTTGCGTTTCTAGCATCCGTGGATATTGCTGATCTATTCTGAACATTCTGAAATTGGCAAAGTATTCAGTTACAAGTGAAAAATTCTCTTCACCCTCCTTGATAAAAAGCGGACAATGAAACCATCGCACTATCCGATACCCATATGCCTCTCGCTCACAGCCTCTTAATTGGTCTAATGTGCTTTTCAGTTTTTGCTTTTCTCCTATAATGAGCTTCCACGTTAGTGATCTTATATTTTAAAGCCTTGCCGGGGACGCACAAGTGTGCTGGGGAAGAACCTACACCCAGCAGAAGACCTCTTTCTCAGTTGGATTTTTTAAATTACAAACCAGGTGATCCAAACCAAAAAGGTTGGTGGTGTTCCTAGGATGGAAGATGTGAAATGGGTTTAAGTAACACTGTATTAGTCATGAGGCAGCAATGGAGTAATGTTGACATGACTTGAAAGTAGCATTGTTGAGTAAATGAATATGTGAGAAGCACTTGCTAAACTAAATGAGTTTTACAGTTGTATGCACATTTGTGTAATCCTGTTTATTGATGCCTGAAACAATTTGCAAAATAGAAACAAATCCACGAAGAAGAAATATGTTTGGAATTATTTGTTTATATGACAATTTAAAAAAAACACACACAGGAATCCAACTGCCACATTTCATGCACTAAATATACCATATGTGGAAGCTTCCCCTCGGAAAATTCAGCAGCAACCTTTACTGTCTGATGCAGAACAATAAGAAAGTACCCGGCACCTTTTTTTTAAATTTTAACCCCTATGTCATTTACTTTCTCTCACAACTATTTTAAACATGAGAGTTAGTTTTGTAAAAAAAAAATTTTTAGCTAAGCCGAGTATCAGGAGACACTGCGCTATTGTCTTTTGTCTTTAGAAGCTAGTGAAGTCATACCATATTTCTTTTGAATCAGAGTATGACTGACAGAAAAAATAGGTGTGGGCACATTCTCCTGGAGAAAAAAAAAAAATCCACGTATCTTTACATACAAGCTTACGATGGGCTGGGCATGATTCTTAAGTACCTTATAAATATTAATTAATTAGTCTTCATTGCAGTCAACAATTCCAGTTGACAGATGAGGAGACTAAGGCCCAGAGAAGTTCAGTAATTTACTCAAAGTCAACCAGCTGATAAGTAGCAGAGCCAGGATCCGAAGGCAGGCAATCTAGCTCTGGCGTCCATGCTTTATCCACCACACTGCTGCCTCTCCGCACGGTAAAGCCTCCATGTGTTCCGGACTTTTTTTTTTTTTTTTTTTTTTTTAATTAAAGAAGATTCAGGGGGCTCTTGGGTAGCTCATTCAGTTAAGTATTTGCCTTCAACTCAGAGCATGATCCCAGGGTCCTGGGATCAAGCCCCACATTGGGCAGGCTCCCTGCTCAGTGGGGAGTCTGCTTCTCTCTCTCCCTCCCACTGCTCCTCTCCACTTCTCATTCTCTCTCTTTCTCTCTCTCTCAAATAAATAAATGAAACCTCTAAAAAAAAAAAAAAAAAAAGGAAAAAGATTCAGGTTCCCGGGTTAATTTGTCATCTAGACGCCAGCCCTTTGTTTTGGGAGCCCAGATCCCAACCACAATCTGCCTCCATGCCTGCTGGCTGTTTGGACCCACGGGACTCTGCCTTGCATACCCATTCCTCTGGGCCTCTGCTTTGGTGGGAGAAAACTTGTTGCTGTCTGAGTCACTTAAGAAGTACAAGTCGCCGTCCCCTTAGCCCTGCCGGCTGCAGTCCCAGACTGGATCCCTTCTCCAGGTTTGGGGTTAATCAACTGCAAATTCCATTAGCTTCATACAGAGGGAAAATAAAGAACAGACAGCTTCACGTAGGAGCCTGAATTCAGGTGTGGCTCCTCAGGCTGGCCCGCAGGTATCAGTGGTTTCCCCTGCCTCCAAGGATCCATGCCCTCAGTGGGAAGACAGATCAAATGGGGCCTGTTCCAGAAACTTCTCTGCCACTGAGAAAGCTTTCAGAGTGGACCCCCAATGCACATCACAGGCTTCTTTTTTTTTTCTTTTTTTTCCTTTTATGGAAAGATGTAGAATTTGAAACTCCGGTTCATTACGGTCCAGCAGCTTTGAGAACGTTTCCTAGGCGCACTCAGGCTGTGTAAGGCTGACAACTGATTTCTCTGCCCACCAGACAGAATGGCTCTGAGGTAGGGTCCGAAAGGCTGCCTTGACTTTGAGGTGGGTCCTCACTTGAGGCTTTGGGCTTCTTTTCATAAGTCCTGATGTAGAATGGCTTTAAAACACAAAATAAAAGCCATTTTCCAGAGATCACTGGTGTTTTTCAAAGAAGAACAAAATGGACTTGCTAGGACATATTCAAATACAAGCTGTTAGTTTCTCATTAATCTAAGTTGACCAAACAAAAGCGTTCCTGGTGGGATGAAAGAAGTATTATATAGCCGTGTTGAGTAAGTTAGCAATTTCCCTAAAAACGCGCCCTTCCAGCGGTCCGCTTGTGGGAAGCTTCCCATGATCAGGTGAGAGTTCAATTTCCGTCTGACTTTTTAAATGCCATATGGTCATTGTCTCCACGCTTTTCACTTTCTTTGAGTCCTTGCCCCTCGTCATTGGCTGGGTGACTGTTTTGCTTTTATAATTTTCCCTAGTTTAATTGCTCATCTCCTCCTACCCTGTTTTAAGGAAAATATTGTCACCATTAAAATAGAAGAAAAAAGCAATAGCCCCATTGCTGGGAACTTATAAGCTAACCGACCCCCTCCCCATCACAAATGGTCCCTTTCTAATCATAGTTTGTGGTGGAATGAAAGATGCAATTGTCTGGAAGGGATGAATATGGGATCCATGCTGGCTTGGGGGTCAAAGGTCATCGCCTGCAAAGGTCCCTTTCTCTCTGGCACGGCTCCCTTTGTATAGCATAGTTTGGCAGCTATCTGCTTGCACTTCGGCTACCTGCCAGTGCAGCTGGTACTGTGTCTGGTGCAGACAACAAAGCCTCACTCAGCAACCAGCAGCTCTGCATGGGGCCGCTTTTCTCAGATGACAAAGAAAGATGGGCTATACATTCTACCATCGCTGCCCATTAAAAGGACTCTTAAATTGCATTACTACAAGTTATTGTTAATTATGTAGTAGTCACTGGAGCTGTAGGAGCTTTCCGGGGAGGGAGCACGATTTGGCTATATGGTGGGGGGGAGGGCATGGGGGGGGAGGAAGTGGGGGAGGGGGTGGTTGTTGAGAGAAGGGTAGCCCGGAGCAAGGACTGGCGGTAGGGAAAAACCTTTCTCTAGCATCATGAATTGGGTAAGCCCTCAGTGCTGGGTGCAGACGATGGGCTCTGCAGGTTAGCAACATAGCTGCTGAAGAAGGAATCAATCGGCAGAAAGCATCTCTGATCCGGACAGTTTGGAAATTGTCCTGCCCACCCTCCATTCAAAAAGCCACATCGGAGGTTTCCAGTGTTTTCATTGAAGAATAATTTTAAGCAATTTATCACTTGGCTGTAATGCATTCGCTCTGGGCTGAAATCAATAGGTCCTGCAATGGGGAGATAAGCAGTGTTTGAAGGTTGGGAAAGAGGACCAGAGGTTGCCTATTGTCAAATAGCCAGAAAATTTAAATTAAAGTGATATGTTTACCCCATTTGGCCATCTGGGGTGGCAATACGGCTCCATTGGTGTTACCCAGGTTTTTCAAGGGTGGATTCTTTGAGATTTTTTTTTTTTAATTGCTAGGGTCCCATTCTAGCCGCTGCTTTAGAAATCACATCCATATACCCGTGTGCCCCCAAATTCAGAAAAGCCTCTCAACTGTTTGTGTCGAATTCCTTTGTACCGTCTTGAGTCCGTATTTGTTTTCTCTCTCCCTGTCCTTCTAATGGTTCCTAAGGCAGTGACTGAGGTTTTAAGATCTGGTAATTCATTTGCTTGTCCCTCCCAGCAGAATAAAAACACCACACAGCTTCCAAAGGGGTTGAGCGTGAGGCCTTATCAGTCTTCTTTGGCTTATTTTGAGGTTTTTGGCCATTGAAATGAGATGACGCTGCTCTCGAAATGTCTGGCAAGTTTTTCATGATGTGTACCAAACTCTAGCAGCGAGAGGATCCCAATTTGATGTAATTTCCCTGCAACAACACAGAGGCTTTACTTTTTGCTCCTCCCCATCCCCCACGCTTCTCCAGCACCCCCTTGTCGCCCCGCACCCAGCCTCCGCCTGCCAATCCTCTTCAGATTAAAAGAAAATCTAAGGGAAACAGGACACAATGGGGGCAGATGAAAGTCCACAGTCTTTAGTTTCTATCTTTCCTTCTTGTGTCTAATTTTCCGCTTCTTGGTTGTTCTGATCTCAGCTATTTGCAATAGTTATATATAATTTAACATTATACAAAAGTATTGTCATATCAAACATAGTGAAATGGATTCCAAAAACACCATCTGGTATTTGGGAATGCACTGTGAGTTGGGAACGTGAGAAGAGATATTCTTTGCCACTTTGCTTGGGATCCAGCCATTAGCAGTGTAATTGCCAAGAAAAGGTGACAGGCTCCAGGCTTAAAACAAGTGGGTTCCTCCCCCCACCCTCGCCTATTAACTCTTGTGAGTCCTAAACCACATTAAAAAGGACTCTGAGGACAGAGCAATTTAGAACCAAAAAAAAAAAAGAAAGAAAAAAGAAAAAAGAAGAAGAAAAAGAAAGAACAGGACCATGGAATCTGAAGACAGAGAAACATACCCATGGCACTGGTTGTTATTATCGTTTTATGAAGAAAGTAAAATAAGAGGAAATACAATGAATCAGATACGGCGCAGTGAGAGCTGGGGATCGGGTTAATTGTGCTTGCAAGTTATGGGGTTTTTCAATGGATTTGCATGATGAGAGTTTTAGTCCAAAGCTTGTTTCAAAATCCTCATTAGTTTCCTCTAATCCACCTAAAAGTATAAAGACCGAGATTTGTGAAGGTCATCGGCGATGATTTAAACCTCTTTAATATCATGGAGATTTGCACCCATGTCTCTACAGGAAAAAGAGAATGAATAACTTTGAATTGTCTCCTGTATCTGTCAGAGTTTCAGGCACGGCCATGTGAGAGAAACAAAGAAATTCAGAGAACACTGTTATTACAGACCTGCGCTTTGTTTAACCAATTTGAGATGAGAACAGCTACGTAAATAAATAAATAAATCCTGGGTACCGGGGAAAGAGGCGTTATCCTACTGGACAAAAATGAGAGAGGGGACCTCTTAGCAGGAGATAAAAATAAGGAACAGCAGGAAAAAAAAAAAAAAAAAGCCCCACCACTGAAACCTCTCATAGCTATGTTCAATCTGGCATTCACAACCTGGGTCTGTATCTGTTTCCAACGACAAAAATAGTTTACAAGGGTCACAGTCTTTTTTTTTTTTTTTTTCCACGCAGTGTGTCAGAAGTTGGGCTGTGCGACCCAGAACTGCCATTCCATTACACAGAATAAAATGATATCTGGTGGGTGGATAGAACGCTTGCCAAAGAAGACACGGGGAAAGCTAACCCTCTCAGTCTAGCTCCTGTTTTTAAATATTTATATCTCTGGCAGACTTTTTGGGGGGAGAGGAAACTGAAAGCTCTTTCGCTATCTGTCATTTCAGCCAGGCAGAAGAGAGAGTCTCACGACTTGATTTTCCTCGAGTTTGGCACCAGGAACAGGCGATAGCATTTCTTCAGGGCGGTGAATTTCTCTTTGTGGAAAAACCAGCCTGGACCAAGGATTTTTTACAAGAGCCAACAGCCGCTTTCCATACCCGCCTGGGGCAGGGCCAAGTTCCCATTAGCACTGCTGTTACCAAGCGCGTGTGCCTGGGCCTGCCTTGCAGTGGGCCACTGCTGACCTTGATCGGGGCCTGCTGGAAATCTCTGAGGGAAACTGGGGCGGGGGGGTGGGGGGGACCCGGTTTGGGGGAAGTGCGCTGTGCAAGAAACAGAGCAGCCTGGCTCCCAAGCTGGCCTGGATGGGGAATTCTCTTTGTGATCTCCAGTTTTTCTCTGCCCACCCCACCCCCTCAGGTCCCTCTCCAAGGAATCAGTCCCTAAAGGCAATGGACTGCAGCTTCCTTCTCTGTCTCCCATCACCCAGACTGTCACCTCCTTTGCTCGGGGTCTGGAATATTCCATGAACCTTCTAATACTGTGGGGCAACCTTGCAGTGGGCATCGCCGTGGGTTGGGCAGTGGGCATCGCTGTGGGTTGGGCAGTGGGCTTTACAATCAGATAGACCTGCATCTTCCTCAGGGCCCTGCCACCGACTCGCTGTGCAAACACAGACAAGTTCTGTGGCCTCTGCCACAAAGTAGTAGTGTAGCTCATTCCAGCAGGAGGGTTGCATGGAACACACAAGACAGTTTGTAAAGAATCTGGACCACTGCCTGTCACCCCGTGAACGTTCACTATACCAAAGTTATTGTTCACATAATCAAAAGATGCATATGGTCCCATCAGAAAGCTTCTAATACATCCCTTTTTTATACAAACTGTTCTGGTAAGTGCTAGGGATGCCGAGACAGAAAAGACGCAGAACCTACCCTCAGGGAGGCCTCCATTGGAAGAGACTGGTTCTGTCAGCTACAAAGCGGCTTAACCTTCTCTCTCTAGTCACGTGCCTTGTAATTTCCAATTTTCCCAGATTTTTTCTATAGCGTCTTTTAGCAATAATAACAACCATGATTGTAATAATAGAGGATAATAATAGTAATAGTAATAATAATAGTAATATTAGTCAAGCTTTGCCATGTGCCAGGCCCTTTACATATAGGAGTTCATTTCATTCTTTAGCTATATGCTATGAGCCACGATTATGGAAGAAAAGCTAGGGAATTAGAAAAACTGAGTAACCCCCACAGGGGTAGGCAGCCAGTAACACGTAAGAATCAGCGAAAATCAGGAATAATTTCCTTTTGTGTTCTTCGTGGGATTGAGTACACGTGATTCAAGATTCCAGGATTCTAGTGTAAGTCTGATGGTGACGGTCTTATCAGTTGTTTCAGAGAGAGGCAGAATGAACCAAGGGACCAGACACATTATTCTTCCACCAAATATTTTTCCAGCATCCACTATAGGCTTTGGGTGTTCTGATAAACACAAAAATAATTTGGTGCAAATTCTTCCCCCACGGAGAGCAAAATCCAGAAGAGGAAAGAAGGACTGTTTCTAAGTAACTATTACTTGGTAATAGAGTGATTTTTCCCTGAGAGAGCTTCAGGAAATGGCATATCTGAATTCCATAACCTCCAGCATAGGCTGGGCCAGAAGAGACCATGAGAAAGGATTCGAGGGCAGGTAATAATGACCGTCCAGAAATGATGAGGAAAGGTGTTCCAGGTGGAGAGAAACACGCACAGAGGCACAGAGGGTATTCCAGGTGGAGAGAAACACACGCACGGAGGCACAGAGGTAGGAATGGGTCAGATGTGTACTGATAAGAGTTCAACGAAATAAACCGAGGAAAGCTTTTAAGGACATGAACTTGGATAGTCAGGACTGAGAGGAGAGGATGGATGTCAGAAGGAGTGGTACATTGCCAAATTTTATGTGCAAATTTGTTGCTTAATAAATATTCCTTCATGAGGACAACATATGCTGTTACTTAATAAATATTCCTGATGGGGAAGACATGTGCTGAGCTGATGAGGGGAAAAAAAAAAAAAAAATAGAACTTAATCATCCAGGGCTCGGTTTTTTTTATTGGATCCCATAAAACCATTCATTCATTGAAACTTTGGAACATTTCTAAGCAGATACTCCACACAAGACTAGGCACAGAAAACACAGCAATGTCTGTTCCTATGAGGCATTCACAGTTCTGGGGCAGAGACAACCATGCAAAGTAACAATTCCAAAATGCCGTGTCCTGCAATGCTGCCTTGGGGGGCAAGGAGGGGAAGCTTTGCAGAAAAAGTAAGACTAAGGTTCAAGGTTGAGATTCGTAGTCGTCCTTGGAGTGAAAGCACTTTGTGCCTCAGAAAAGCACTGTAAATAAATGTTACCTGACATTTTTGTATTCTTTTTCCCAGCCACAGTTTTGAGGTTTCTCGGCCCAAGAGGAAACATCTTAAAGATCACATGGCTTTCAGAATAGTTGAGTGTGGATGTGTGGATGTGGGTTTACGTGTATGGACATATATACTGGTATCATACTGAGAAAATGTTTTATAATTTCAAACTGATAACATTTACTTCTTCAAGTTCCACCATAAAGAGCAATGAGTTTCTTCAGATTCACCCCCAACATTTAATACTGGAGTGATAGGTGATGTTTGCAGTCACAGCCCCAGTATCGTCTTTCTTTCGGTGTTTTGTTTTGCAGACGTGGCCTTACAAAAATTCTGATTGCACTGATAAGTAGCGAAAGTGGTAACATCTGTGGGCTTTTTGTTTGTTTGTTTTTTGTTAACAGCTTGACTCACAATCTCAAGATACTCTTCATTTAATCTGGGCCAGAAGCTTCAAGGCAGGATAGCGAGACATTTCAGTTTCAGAGTTGAATCAGTAACAACACTTAACGATGGTTCTCTGTATTCTTTGACATAAATATGAAAATCAGACAGGAGGAGCCCAAAATTTACACTAACTCTAAAGTGGTCCGTAATGTGAATCATGAAGATCAGCATGTCTGAAGTGTCTCCATTAGAATGTTACAGTTTGGTAAAAGGACTGGCCAAAACAACTGATCTGATGTTAACTTGACATTTATCTGGGGTACCTGTGACTTACTTATACAATTTCAGGTTAAAAATCTGAATTCCAGAAAGACCCCTGCAGAGCTACGGTAGTCCTAATCAGTGACATATTTATAAGAATTTAGAATGTATATACAGACACGTATTATTACTTTTTTAACATCAAAGAGATTCTGTGGGTATTGAGATTGTTACCCTATTGTGATTGGTCTTCTGTATTAAAATTTTGATGAGAATTATTTTTGAAATAAAATTAATATATATCCATAGATATTGTTTAAGTTTTCTTCTGAGTTCATACAAAAATTAGTAACCTATCAGCACAAATAATTATGACAGTGGTCTCTAAATGTAATATATAGGGGCACCTGGGTGGCTCAGTTAGTTAAGCTTAACACTTAAGCTCAGGTCATGATCTTAGGTTCCTGAGATCAAGCCCCACATAGGACTCACTGCTCAGCAGGGAGTCTGCTACTCCTTCTCCCCCTGATGCTCATGTTCTCTCTCTCTCTCTCAAATAAATAAGATTTTTAAAAAATAAATAAATAAATATAATATGTATACACATAGACTTAAGTAGATCATGGATTTTTATCTCAATTATCAAAATAGTTAAAAATGTGTTACAAAATTAAATTTGCATGTAACACTACAATAATTTAAACTTAAATAAGCTAGCCCATAAAAACACAGTTAGAAAAATATCGATTGACTCCTAGACTTTCCCAGTGGATCAGATGCAAGGTAATTTTAAGTGGTACACAAGCATTTTTTATGTTAATAACTATGTACTTATGTATACATGTATTAAACATTGGCTCTTCCATTTTTTATAATACACATTTTATTTTACTCCTAAATGATTTATAAAATGAAGGAAATGGGTTAATTTAAAGAAAAATATGAAGTAAATAGTAACACAGGAGAATATAGAAAAAATTTTAACAATAATAGATAAATGACTGGAGTTTGCCAAATCCTAATGTAATACAACCCACTTTGTCAGTCCAAGTGGAGAAATGAAGGACCAGAAGACCATTTTTGGTGGCAGATGAGGACTTGCCCCCATTTATCCTCATTCCCAATCTAAGAAGACTATCTTATTCATACTACAAGAGCAAGATCTGCACTCTCAGCCAGTAGCTCTAATGGCTTTGCCATGTAACATATGTGACAAACCAACAAGACTTTAAGTCTTAATTGACAATCTAAAGATAAGCCAAGGCTGAATGTCAATAACCTCTTAGGGCTTCCCGAGCACATCTGGATATTTTCACATGCTCATTATGGAAAACACGACTCCAACAGGATTAAATTACAAATATAATATGCATATTATACATATAAATGAAATATATGTAAATTATAAAATGCTCTTACAAATAAAAAGTCCAAAGGTAGCACTGTCTTCAGTTATGGCTTGATCCAGCAACACGGAGTGGCCCAGTTTCTCCATTTTGCCTTTCTCAGAATCCTAAGGCAGGGATATTTCTGAGTTACTTCACCATTCATACAGAACAAGGAAGAGTCCCAGAATCCACCCCCCAAGGGAAAAAAAAAAAATAAATAAAGCCAAACCAAAAAAACCAAAGGGTCCCCTGGATCCATGTAGGTCTTATGGCCCATCCTTAAACAAAATTTACCATATGTCCCACATCTACAGTGGAACCTGGAAACACTGGTCTCTCTAATGGGAAATTAGAAGCTGTTGGGATTGGAGACAGGTTAAGATAAAGACTGGTAAGCCATCACAAATATTCCCGGTTGTGAAGAAAGAGTAATAATGTCACTGTATTGGAAAGTCTTTAGATTTGATCTGGGAGGGATTCTGGATACTTCCAGGGGTAGGTCATATTCTCCAGAGGTATTTATGAAGTGTTTGTATGCAAGGGCGGGGAAGAGTGTTGTACCTCATAATACCTTGGGTGTTCACACAGAGCCAAAGTCCACAAGGGTTTTTGTGTGAATTTTCCTAGTTTAATGCCACTTTGGGAGTATATTTTCCCACTACATTCCAGCCTGGGCCATTGCCCTCCTTAAGAATTTACTTCCTGGTGGCTTTTTTTAATGGGAGGGTAGCTGTGCAAAGATAATCGCCAAAAAGAAAAAACAAAACCATAATTTCCATTTTGAAGTTGAGGTTTGAGGTAGAGGGAAGTTAAATGGCTCTGAGAGGCTAAGGGCGACTTTCCAGGGAAGGTGTTGGCTCCCCTCCTAGTTTTCCTAGTTTCTAAGGCTTCCCACAAAGCGTGCGCTGAAACTCACCACTGCCCTTCAAAAAGGAAACTTACCTAGAAGTCAGCCTTCCATGGTTCACATTTTTATCCATTGCAAGTGAGGCTGCATTGTAATTGGACTCAAACAGTAGCCAAGAGGATGCAGTTCCCTCCAGCCCTAAGAAGCGGAAGCAGGATTTGGGAAGGTATTGGATCTTTTCTGAAGCCTCTTGAAAACGTAACACTGTCAGTGGCTGCCTTTGACCCTTACACCCTGAAGACCGAGAAATACGTTCGACTAAAATGCACTGAGCAGGGCCCATTCCCTTAAATGATCTCATCGAACCCTCACATCCAGGCCGTAAGTTATATGTCCACCCCACTTCACAGATAAATAAACAGAGGCTCAAAGAACCAAAATGAATTGTCCCCTACAGATCTAACCGTAGGCTACTGCATGACCTTGAGCCAGTCCCTTCTTTCTCAGAATCCCAGCTCCTCAGAGAAGTGAGGCCCTTGCTCTAGAATCGCCTCCCCAGCTGCCTCCATCCTCTCCAGCCTCAAAGTGTCTGTGCGGAGCCCTCCTCTTCCAGTCTGTGAGGTCCAAATCCTGGGCAGATGTCTCTCACCATATGCTGGGGGTGATTTAACAAGGCCAAATGAGCAGCCCCGTGGCTAGAGGCGCTCTCCATTACATATAGGTGGGTTGCTGCCGCCGGCCGGCCCGGCTGTCCCAGCCCTGGCCTGCTCCTTCTCCCAGGCACCAGCCTGCAACTGTACATGCCAAGCAGCTGAAGATATTTTTAAAGCTACAGCATCTGGCTCCTTGGCAGCCTCTACCCGCTGGTGGGCCGGGTGTTTTGGAGTTGCCTCTGGGCACTTCACATGGCTTGGCATCTGATCCATTGTCTGAGCTGCCTTTTAGAGCAAAGCTTTAATTGTAGGGTGGGGGTGGGGGAGGAGGGAGGGGAGGCAGGGGTGGGGAGGGTCCCCAGAAACCAACTTTTGATTATGACCTAGGTCTCCCCTCTCGAGTGACATCGGGAGGTCTCTGGATCTCTCACGGTGGGGTTTGTTTCTTGGTTTTTTGGGTTTTTTTTTTCTTCCCCTTTCCTTTAAAAGAAAGTGATGAAAGCAAAAAGAAAGAACATTTCCCCTCTGCCAGAGTGGGTTTGAATAGAAAGCTGATCAGTAGCCGCGCAGCTGCCCAGATCCTGCCCACCGTGCCCACATTCTGACTAGCTCAGAACACGGCTTTCTTGGCATTCAAACTTCCCTCAGGCTGGACGATCCCTCAAATGTGAAATCCCTTTTTTTTTTTTTTTATTCCTGTTTTTGCAAAAGACTCTGAAGCTCCCTGTCTACATCCAAATAGCCAATTCAAAAAAAAAAAATTAGAAAAAAAAAAAAGATACTGACACTTCATTCTCCCTGGCAAACTGTACAGCTGTATTAAGTTTTTTTCCTTTTTCTTAGAAAGGTGCATTTTAGGGAACACCAGCTCCCCAGCCTGGAAATTCAGGCTTGGAGACTTGGCCCTGTTTCAGAACACCAGTTTGAAGATGACTTCGAGTGAGGCTATCAGGCCCTGTGACAAGAAAATTATCTCAGTTGGGGCAACAGTCTCCTGTGTCCCGGGGCTGGGCCACGCACCAGCCTGCCTCTCTCCCCTCACTTGGCAAGAGCACTGAGTACGGACTTTTCTCCAGCCAGCAAGCATGGGGAGTCCACAGGCAGTGGCTACCAAGGGGTAGGGATGCCCCTAGGCAGGCATGACTGCTGGGGACCCAGCCAGGCTGGCTAGAGGGTTGTTTTCAGTGACCTGCTTTTATTGGGCATGTCCGTCTCCTCGCCTCCTTCCACTACACTGATAAAGGACCCCGGAAATCATTACTCCCACCAGAGCTGAGGCCTGTAGCTGATGTGGATAGCTAAGGGAAGAAGGGCGGGGGGTGGGGAGGAGCTGCATTGCCTCCACGTCTGCTCAACAGGAAGATGGCAGTGTTCTCCTCTGATGACTTGGAAGCTCGCTAACACTTGCGGAACACGTACGCTTCTAAGTGCTTCACACACATTAACCAGGTTAATGTTCACCACAACCCCATGATGTAGCTATTACCGTCCTCCCTTCACCAAGAGGGACTGAAGACTGAGAGGTGAAGTAGTTTCTCCAAGAGCCTGCCAATATATGACAAAACAAGGATTTAGACCCAAAGGTTCCTGCTCCATAACTCCCTCCCTTGACCATAAAATAAAGATTAATAAAAATGAAGGTTGACCTAAATTTTGACTCAACATTGAAGACCAAACTCAACTGTGAGCTGTTGGTTCTTTTCAGTCGGACTAAGAGGGGATTTAGGAAGAGTATTTAAAATAGAAAAGTATTGGGGCTCCCGGGTGGCTCAGTCGGCTAAGCGTCTGCCTTCAGCTCAGGTCATGATTCCAGGATCCTGTGATTGAACCCCACATAGGGTTCCCTGTGCAGCGGAGGGGTCTGCTTCTCCCTCTCCCTCTGTCCCTCCTCCCTACTTATGTTCTATCTCTCGCTCTCAAATAAGTAAATAAATCTTTAAAAAAAAAAAAGAGTAGAAAAGAATTGATTCAAGATGCACAGCCATTCCTAGCATTTTCACTACGGTCAATGAAGGCCATCTTCTTCTTTGGCCCTGTTAGCCAGAGGCCTTGACCGCAAGCTGGCCAACAGCAAGGAGCTGAATAAAGACGGGAAGTGTTTGAGCAGCAGGAACAGTGCCACCAAGGCTCAGGCATTTCAGAATTTTGAATGGTTGCCGAAAATCTAATTAAAACTGAGGCTGCTAAACAAACAAACACACAGAAACAAAAAACCTGAGGCTGCTTGAATTCATTAATTTATTCAAAATTTTTGAGTACCTTCTCTGCCTCGGGCATTGTTCTGAGTATAGCGGATACAACAGGGAAGGGGAGAAAGGAGTAGTAGGTGAGGAAAGGGTCCAACGTTAAATGGGGTGATCAGGCAAGTTGAGTCTGAAGAGCTGACTTTTGAGTCAGATGCTGTGGGAGATAAGTGATAAGCTGCGCAGGTGTCTTGGGGAAGAGAGGGAATTACCAGTGTAAAGGCTAAGGTAAAGCCTGCTTAGTGCACCCCAGGAACATCAAGGAGGCCAGGTGGCTGGAACAGAGTGAATGGGGAGAAGATAGTATGAGATGAGGTCAGAACTGGTAATGGAGGGGGCACTGATTGTAAACATGATCTGTTTAAATAAGCTTCATTTAAAGAAATATTCCCCCAGAAATAAAAGAGAGAAACATTCCCAGTGTGCCTGGAATAAAGGAACAAAATATGAGTGATGGCATTCCCCAAGAATGAGGCATGCGTGGGAGCGCTCAGTCAGTTAAGCACTCGCCTTGGGCTCAGGTCATGATCTCAGGGTCCTGGGATTGAGCCCCACGAAGGGCTCTCCGCTCAGCAGCAAGTCTGCTCCCTCTCCCTCTCTCTCTCTCCCTCTCCCTCTGTGATCTCTCTGGCTCTCACTCTCTCTCAAATAAATAATATCTTTAAAAGAGAAAAAAAAAAAAAAGAATCAGGAATGCATAACCTGAAGGTCACAGGACAATGCAGTTGGCCCCTACCTTGGCTCGGCTTGGTTCTCTAAGCCTTCAGATGTGCTTTTGTAAAATAAGACTAAAACCACAAAAACTGAGTCTTTTACTGAATGGGAAGGTGAACTTGGCAGCCCCACAGGAATGCCAAAAGCTATGCTCATAAGAAAGAAGCGGACTGAACACCCTAAACAGTGCTTCTATTACCTACTGCTGTGCCCAGAATCTGCCATTAAATGTCTACTCTTTGGATTCAGAAGGCAATAAATAGCGATGGGGGAGGGCAGGCACCAAAGGCAAACCCCTCCTATTTCATAATGCTGTCAAATACTGAAGCATGTATCATTCTCTCTTTACTTTGTTCTCTCAATTCTAAGGCTTCCTTCCCAGCATCTTGTAACTTAACAACCTGGGAAATGCCCATCAAGTATTATACTTGGTTTCCTAAAGTGGTAAGAGCCACTGGGCCCAAAACTCTCACATTCTCCAATATGCTTTATGGTCCCTATCTTAGACTAAATGGGCAACAGTCCAACAAACCCACAAACAGGGATGTTATTCTGCATTTTTCTTTTATGTCGGCAGAGGCTAAGTCCAGCTGTGTGACTTCTCTGGGCCTCAGTCTTCTTATCCCCACAGTAGGAGTCCTAACTCCTGCCTCACAGAGATTTTGTGAAGTTTAAACTTAAAGTCTATAGAGCTCCCAGTGTGACACCAAACAGAGAAAGGATGGAAATGGCACGTCAGTGCCCTTGTCCTATCTGTAAGAGGAAGGTGCTGGCTGAATCATTCATTCAACAAATGGGTTGTGAACACCTTCTCTGTGGTAGTTGCTGCACTAGCACCCACACCTTCAACATTTGACTCTTTGATAGGAAAAAGAGTAAACAATGAAAGTCTGAGGGACTCCATGAAGGGTCTACAAAGTTCTGCTTATCAGCCTGCCATTACTCATACAAAGGGGAATTTCATGAAATAAGGCAGTCAGAGAAAGATAGATACAATATGATTTCACTCGGATGTGGAATTTAAGAAACAAAACAGGAAGGTATGCCTGGGTGGCTCAGTTGAACTTCCAATTCTTGGTTTCAGCTCAGGTCATGATCTTGGGGTCCTTGGGTCAAGCCCCACGATGGGGCTCTGTGCTCAGCACAGAGTCTGCTTGAGATTCTCTTTCCCTCTGCCTCTGCCCCTGCTCCCTCTTGAGTGCGCTCTCTGAATAAATAAATAAATAGATAGATAGATAGATAAATTCTTAAAAAAAAAAGGAAGGAAGGACGGACGGACGGACGGATGGACGGAAGGAAGAAGGAAGAAGGAAACAGGTGAAAGAACATAGAGGAAGGGAGAAAAGAGAGAGAGAAGGAAACAAATCACAAGAGACTCTTAACTATAGAACAAACTGAGGGTTCATGGAGGGAGGTCAGAAGGTGGGCAAGATATGGGTTAGATGGCTGATGGGTATTAAGGGGGCCACTTGTTGTGATAAGCACTGGGTGTTTTATGTAAGTGATGAATCACTAAGTTCTACACCTGAAACCAATTTTACCATATGTGTTAACTAACTAGAATTTTTTTAAACATTTTTTTAAAGATTTTATTTATTTATTTGACACAAAGAGAGAGATCACAAGTAGGCAGAGGCGCAGGCAGAGAGAGGTAGGGGGAAGCAGACTCCCTGCTGAGCAGAGAGCCCGATGCGGGGCTTGATCCCAGGACCCTGAGATCACGACCCAAGCCGAAGGCAGAGGCATTAACCCACTGAGCCACCCATGCGCTCCCAAACTAGAATTTTTAAAACTTGAAACAAAAAAGTAACTAAAAGGGTGAATATCAAGGCCTCTCTAGGGAAGTTTATACTTCATACTTTTTTCTTCCTAGCTTTCATTTATTGCTTTATTTCCATGATTCTAGCAAGTATTTTAAATCAGTTGCAATATTATGACATGACTTTATAATGCAAAGTCCACAGTAGTTCATGTGGATGGCTACTACATGGTAGACAAATACTCATTATTCTTTTAATGCCCTCCCTTTAATGCCCAGGAGGCCCCTCCCAGGACTCTCTGGGAGCTGTGGGGTCTCAGAGCTCATTAAAGGAATACAAAGCATCCACATTATTAGTGTAACTTAACTA